GTCTATGACGTCGTCAATCTCAAAAAGATGTGCCGACTCAGACTCTTGAAGGTGATCATAAGGGTAGGATGTGCGTGTGTGCATTCATAGGGTTGAGTATATGAGTAGTTGTTTCTATATTGTGCAAAAAAACAATGTCATGGTGGTTCTGCGAAATGAAGTGCTCCAGTTAGGGTAAACTCTCCACTGCAGACTTCATCGATGAGCCCGTGGATTCACCTTCCCTCTGCCTGTGCTCTGGCAGCCGGTGGTGGGGAGGGTAATCCCGGTTCTCCGCTCCGGTTAGTAGTTTATTTTAGGATTTTTGGGTCCTTGAAACTGGGGCGCTCGGACGAATGGCGGCGTTTCTTCTTTGAGTTTGTCTTTCGGGCTCTAACCCTCCGCGACTTTGTCCGTCTAAACGTAATCGATGGAGCACCGGCCTAAACTCCAGCCATCTCTTTAGGGCAGTGAGATTAGGATTTCTCGTCAAGTGACGAGATTTGGTGTTACGTGCTTCAGAACTATGCAAGGGTTCAACGCCGACGACTCCGGCTCCAGGGCGCCGGTCCTTATGGTCACGTGCACGAATACTTCCCGGATGTCATCGACAAAGTCAAGGCGGCTATGGTAGGAGAGTGGAGACAGTAGCGCGTTAGCGGCTCGGTCTGCCGGCGGTAGTGGTCGTTCGGTCTCGAAATCTCGATCTAATTTTTATTATATTTGAGATGTTTTGTACTTTCAATGAACTTATATATAATAGATTTGATGTTCTTTTTTACCGCTCTGGTTATCTTATTCGTTCGTCGTGCTAAGTCAAGCCAGCATGTGTCCTTTCTAAATAAAAATGAATTGCATGTATTATCTTGCTGCTCTTCCTCATGATGCATAACATGCGCACTTGTACGGTAGGTACTCTTTTATAAGGATGACAGTTTTGCCCATGGGTATGGGTACTCACGGGTACCCTACCCTAAAACAATGGGCATGGGCATGAATTGAAAAGATTTTGTACCCACGGGTAATTGGTATCCATACCCGCAAAATCTATGGGTAGGGCATGGGTATTAAATTGCGCCCATTGTTAACCCAATGGATACCCGGAAAATTTAATAAATCAAAATTATTCGTATGACATGTGGGGTAAGTATCTACTCCCTTCGTTCCAAATTACTCGTCGCAGAAATGGATGTATCTAGAACTAAAATATATTTAGATACATCCATACCCGTGATAATTAATTAGGAACGGAGGGAGTAACTCTTATGGCCCAACCCTAAATCTTGTATTCTCTAAACCAGCCATAGGTCATAGGTCCGCAATCTCCTCCTCGACACTCCTCTGACATCCTATGTAACTTCTTGAAACAATGAAATCTCGATTCATCGCCATCGAACTCTCGATCCAGTGACCCCCAATTCCAACTGCTCATCCCCACTACGTCGGGCTTCCACCAACCGCTACTCATACTCCCTTGATGCCTCAAGAAGCCACCCATTGGAGGAGGCTATGTTGGTACTATAATGCCCGCCCATATCACTTGAATTTTACACTCATTTATCTATTATTTTTCAAAATTTAAATGCTATATATGGTACCCAATGGATACCCATTGTGTACAGGATACCCGACGGGTATGGGCATGGGTATCAATTCATGCCCATAAATATTGAAACGGGTGGGTATAAAAAGTTTCTATGGGTATGGGTTTGGGTAGAAGGAGATTGTACCCGCCCATACCCTATCCATTGGCATCCTACTCTTTTATTGGGTTGGAGATCTTCGGCTGTATGATGAAAGCAACTTGGCCGGACAAGGCTCCTGCCGTGCGTTACACGTGTTAACGGCAAAAGTAGCGGATTATTGTGCAATGACACGATAACAAACTGGCAACCGATCGTGACTAATGAGCGGTCAAATCCACGCGCCTGGCCTACGTGCGATACGGCGCGCAGGCGCGTCCACGTCTGAGGCTGGAGGCCGAGCCGATGAGTGATTGCACGCTTAGGACACACGCTGGCCTCGCCTGGCATGTTTTTCGAATGATTTGAAGATTGCTTATCACACCTGCCGCACGGTCACTTAGCATGATGTATAAAATAAATAAATAGAGCACTTGGATCATTTCGCACAACCACCCGTGACGGAAAAAAATTAACACCTGGACCGATCTCTCAGGGTCCATTCTTCTTGCTGGCGTTCCTTTCTTTTTCGTCTCGGCATGACTGGTAGTTAGAGCATCTACAATCAGACGTATTAAATCATTTCTCATATGCTTGCGCACGCACTCAATGACTGGACATGAGAGAGAAGAAAAAAGTGACCCAACCAGACCCCTCATATCTTTTCTATATGTCCGGACTGTTCATGAACTCTCGTATCCATCTCAAATCTGGGGAGAATATGAGGGCTCGCTGACACGCCCGGATGCGCCCGGTCAATCCGCCACGGAGAACACAAACTCACCCCGAACTATCTTTTATCTTTCTTTATTCATTCTTATCTTTCTTTATCTTCATCTCCGTCAACACATGAGGAAAAAAAGAACATTATAACTGCGTGGATGAATAAAATAGGGGCTTAAAACAGACGCGCTCAGTCATTGATCGGGCGTATCCACGGGCGTCTGAGAGATCGAATTAGAGGTACATGGTGTTGAAATATATTGTCCGCCTTTTTTCATCAGTTCAGACTTTTCGAGCAACTGGCTGGAGCATGAATTCAATATGGTATCCGAGCCAAGAGGTCTTGAGTTCAAGACATGAATTCAATACATGGTTGAAGATGCTCTTAAAACACTGTCTACATGCACATGCCTGGATGTTCTTCGTTCCAATGAAGAACGTTGCTGCTGGTAATTTCTTTTCTAGACACATCCACAACTAGATATTTTTCAGAGAAAGCAAAATTATCCTTTGCCCCCAATTCTATGTCGGTGTCATCCTTTCCCTGCTCGCTTGCCTCTGCATCATAATCAATGAAGAAGCTGAGATAAGCTAGGTCCAGTTGTTTGAGTAGTTGATGTGCTGAAATCATTAGGTAGTCTCATTGTTTAACAATATAAACCGACATCAACACGGTCCTTGTTACTCAAGTGTTTACCCAACCGAGTGTGGCTGTTCAACACGCACGGACATTGCACCCCTGCTACACCCACGATCGAAAACTTAGCAAAAAAAAATGAAACTTGACAAATCCGATTATGGGCAAATGTTTTAGGTGCTTGCAAAGTTTTGTAGCCAAATGACATCTAAGGAACTCCGTACAAAAATAAACAAACTTTATACACAAAAATAAAATCTGAAACGTGGGTGCCGAGCTTGAGTTTGTATTTTATTTCATATGAAGATCATTTAATGTTATTTGGCGACCAAACTTTACAAGATTGTAAAACATTTGCTCATAATCAATACGACGAAGTTTTAGATTTTTCTAAATTTATTTATTATGCTGTTTATTGCGTGGGTGCATCATAAATGGATGCAGCCACTACTTTTCCTTACCCAACATCATGGACAATGGCTTGTCATTCTTTACATTATGATATTTTTTCAAAGTATCGTCTACAGTCAATCGATATTCAAACCCTGACCCTATACCATCGGCCATGCATTGGCTTCCTAATCTATGATATTTTTTCAAAGTATTGTCTACAGTCGATCGATATTGAAACACCGACCCTACCATCGGCCATGCATTGGCATCTAAGGAAGCAATAGAAAATGCCGATGTTCTCTGACTGCGTCCCCGTCGGTGTTCTCGACTCGTGCGGTATCCATCTCCACAAGAGCAGAGGGGTAAGCTTAGGGCATGGCAGCAGTGAGGTGGCGGCGACGGAGGAGCAGCTGGCAAAGGATGACGCCCGGCGCTGTGCGAGCGGATGGTGAAGATGACTGAGGCTGTATTCGAACGCAAAGGGATGGACGGGGCTATACCGTCAGACTCGAGCGAGGGGAAAGTATCAAGTGATACCATCCCTTACATGCTACTATGATATCAATTAAAAAAATCTGAAAAAAAATCATCGATGTTCATGACATATATGTCGACAACCCCTAAAGAATTCAGATCAAAATTCTACATACACATGAAGAAACAAAGAAGACAAATCCATCATGAATGTGTCAAAGGAAGACAAAAGCAAAAAATAACACTATTCACACCTGAATTTGTCTTTTTGTTTCTCCGTGTATATTTCAAATTTTGATCTGAACTTTTTTTGTTTCTCCATGTATATTTCAAATTTTGATCTGAAATTTTCGTGAACATCCATGATTTTTTTCAGAATTTTTTGACAAGTTTAAATTTGAATTTTTTAAGTTGGTATCATGAATTCATGGTAGCATACAAGGGTGGTAGCATACTATAAGGGCTAGTATCATCTGATACTTTCCCCAATCGATGTCATGCAGTGGCTTCGCTCCAAGGTTTCAGCCCTTCTCCACAATTTGCATAAAGTTGCTGCCAGCCATAAGACTTCTATGCTAGCTAGTGGCACAATCATAATTTCCCTTACCTTTATGCCTTCCCTAATCAACAAATGATACCTGATGCCCATAGGCACTTCATCTCTCCTTCTCCCCATTTCAATGAGAAGCTATGCACTGTTCCCTTCACATGGATGGCAGTGCTATATAAATCACCGTAGTAATAGCACCATGAGACCGTGAGTGAGCTAATTCGATCCATCCAAAACATTCGGATCCGGTGATCTGGTCCATGTATTCTGTTTTCCCGCTGCTTCCTTCTATCAATCAATGCAAGCCAGCAACATGATGGATCTTTCAAAAAAAAATCAGAGCAGAAACACTTGCAAATACTGGCACATGCATGCTTGACTATCCAACATTCCTCTCTCCCACTAATGCCATATATAAATAGGCCATGGCTAACATTTACGAATTAACCCACTTCCAGCCAGCAGCTCCATCACAATAGCAAAACAACACTAGCTTATGGGTTGAAACCACCAAGCAAAATCCTGAAACCAGTCGTCTGATAAGCAAATTTGACGTTGAGAGTCATGTCGACGCACCACTTTGGCTGCTGTGCTCTGGCCCTTCATGGAAAGGAGGTCAGTCAATATCTTAACATGTAAACATGAAAATCGTTGCGTTTATAAAGATTATTTTCAATGCTCAATATAGCAAACAAAACCATCTATGAACTAGCAGCATGCAGAAAAACAACAGAACAATTGCTCATCACATCACTAGAACTCCCTTTTCTTGACAATCACAGTACCTGCAGGAGTTTGCCAATATTTTGCAAGTGCAGCGAATAGAGAAGATTGCATATACCAAAAAGGGCCACAAACTAGAAAGGTTAAATAATTCATTACCCCCTATTCCACCATTCAGCAATCATTTCGAAAAGAAAGAAATTTGGGGATTTATGCACACTAATTCAGCAGTTTTATTCCCTCAAAAAATCAGTATTATCAGCCAATTATGGGGATACGGGCACAACCAAACTTCAGTTACTCGAAAACCAATATAACATCTGCAAACTGGACACCGAACACCCATGTAGATGGTGTGAATAAATTTATGGAAAATGAGAGTTTAGTATTTTGGGAACAGAAAAAGGGCAGCCGTGTGCATGTAGCTCCCGCTTGCGCAGGGTCCGACCACTTTGGGAACAGAACCTAAAGAAAATACTAGTACAAAGACCGCAAAAACATTCCCTAAACCTACAGAGCTTTACAACAAAGATAGCATGAGGAAACCTAAAACTAAGACAACCTGGAATTAATAATTGGCACTTAGCAAAATATAGATACAAGTCTGACAGAGATAATGCATGGGATTAAGCAACAGAGGCATGGAGTTTCAACAATATGCAAAACAGAAATAGTTGTTGCATTCGGGAGCGTGATAATCATGTATTTAGAATCTGCTTACCAGAACTAGGAACAACACTGCATTCCACATAAGGGTACTCCTTGAAGATGTCATATATTTTTGTGCACAAACCGTTACTTGCTGTGACATCATCTAAAAGCTTCACAGCTATTCTTTTCAGCATTGCTGTGCATTTGAATATTTGTCTCAAGAAATCAAATTCATGCTCCTGTCCTTCAAAGACATTGATTTTCACTTCTTCAAGATTGATCAAGGTGATAGTTTCGCTTCTCCAGTTCTTAGGCTCATCACAGGGACAATTTACTGGGCATGCTATTGCTTTCTCCCCCTAAAAGAAATATGAATAACTACAGCATGTTATACTCTTTGAAAATATCATCTCAAAACTATACCTGGATTTGCCTTTTTGCTTCATATATTTCAGATATAAGCAGAGGAAAGAATTACCAGTCCTATCTTAAGAATTTTTGTAGCAGTACGAATCCGATGAATCGCCAGGAGGCGAAACACAAATGCTCCAAAAGCATGCCCGCTTGTTTTGAAAGAGTTGAAATGTAGATCCAAGACAGAGAAGTTACAAACCACTAGATGTTTCTCTATTTCTTGCGCAAGGCTGAGCTCGGTGCGTGAAAAACTAAATGAGTGCTGGTGCTGCAAAAACAATTTGAGAGTAATATCAGCAATAAGTTTAATCCGTTAAGAGAGACCTGAAGGATTGGAGTATCACCAAAGAGCTAGCTATGGACAGGGGTGCGTGGAAGCTTGCTATCCATGTGCCAGAGCCATGAGTTGGTTGCGAGATCTTATGGGTTTCACCTCTAGCCTACCCCAACTTGTTTGGGACTAAAGGCTTTGTTGTTGTTGTTTGTATCAACAATAAGTTTAATAAGTATAGTTGGCAACTCCATGAAGTAAATTGAGCAGGCCAAGGAACGCACAAGACAGTCCATCCACAGGCACAGGGCATTGCTCTCCGTCTCTAACCTCACCATCGCAAGGCCCCAAAGGCCAATCCCAGCAGCTACCTTGGAATAGTGGCATAGCCACAGAACCTTCTCCACCATAGGTGCCAAGATGGACAACCTGAGCTCGCGGCGAGTGTCTAAGGATAATGTCAATTGCTTAAGCGTGGGGGCCTCGATATCCACACTCCCTGTCTTGATCTCTAGAACGAGCCCCTGCAGGGACGCGGAGCGGATGGCTTCGCCGAGCAAACAGTCGGTCGCCCTTAGCACGCGCAGGCGCGGACAATGGAGGAGCAAGTCGGCAACGTCCACGCAGCAGCGAGAGAAGGACAGCACCTCCAGAGCAGGGAACATGTAGCAGCTTGCCGGTGGGTCGGCCAAGAGGGAGAGGTCCAACTCCAACTCCAACCCAGATAGGTCGATGGAGGTGGCTCGGTGGAAGCAGGGGAGGTCCACCTTTGGGGGATAGCACAATAATAAGTCAGGTGTCAAGCGGGCAAGTGGGCCGAGAGAGACGTTGAAGCGGAGCTCCACCGGCGAGAGCCCCGCGGCGGCGCGGAGCAGTGAGGAGACGCCGGCCGCGTACTGCAGGTAGTATAGCAGCTCACGCCGAGGAACAGGCGGGGGCACCTCGGAGTGGATGTCGAGGAGGAACAACACGCCGGGAGCGTGGACGAGGGAGTCGAGCGCCGATTGGAGCGAGTGGAGCGCGAGGTCGCGGAAGGTGAAATCGGTGAGGCGGGTCCAGAGGCGGCTCCACCGGTGGGAGAGGAGGCTGGTGCGCGCGGCGGCGCGGGCGCAGCGGAGGCGGGCGAGGACCTGGAGAAGCAGATCCTCCGGGAGGGCGCTGATGAGATCGGCTCCTCCTCCGGTTGGAACTAGCTCGGGAAGGCCGCCGTGGTGTGCTCCTTCCTCCATTGTTGCAAACCCTAGTGCGCCGCGCACTTCTTTCAAATCCAAATCGCCGCAATTGCTCGGCGGTGAGATTTTCTGTTTGAACAGGTTTCTTTGGCAAAACCTTAGGTTTCTTGGGTTGTCTGCAAACCGGAGCCTGCAGGCGCTTCAGCTGGGCTCGGCCCGTTTAGCTCTTTCCTTCGCGTTTTCAAAGCGCGAAAATTCGATGAACTTTTTTCAAATTTTATAAAAAAAAATTCAAATTTGATGAACTTTTTTCAAAATCGATGAACTATTTTTTCAAACTCGATGAACTTTTTTCAAAGCTGATGTCTTTTTTTTGAAAATGATGAATTTTTAATTTTTTCCCAAAATCGGTGAACTTTTTTATGTTTGTGAACTTTTCTTCAAAAATGATGAACTATTTCTCAAAATCGATGAATCTTTTTTAAGTTTGTTTACTTTTGTCTCAAAATCAATGAACGATTTTTTTAAAATAAAATTTTTAAATGATAAATAAATCACGTGGCTATACTAATTCATGTACCGTTAGCGCTATTGAAATCACAGTTGTCCAATTGCTGTGGTGGTCAGCTTAGCTCGAACAATACCTGACTTCATGAGCGTTGCACGCCAGCTACATGTTCGGGCGCTTAAGGCGCCGAGCAGGAGCTCCCAGTTTCTTTTTCAAGATTGACCCGCTTACTTTATTTATTTATTTAGAATTTTTTTTGACCGACTTTGTTATACCAACTCGAACGCGACTATGTCGGCCGAACAACACATACAGTTTTTCGGGCTGGACCGGGCCAAAAGAGGCTCAGCTTGGTCGCAAATTGGCCCAGCGTTTTAACCTCTCGGTGTGAGCTGGTTGGAGCACGTGACTTGGTGCTCATTTCTCAATAAAAAAGTGACTTGGTGTTCTCCCCTAAAAAAAGTTACTTTTTTGCGAGAAAAAAAAAACATGACTTGGTGCTCAAGTAGCACCACTCAAGGTGGCAGTCGGGTCGGGTTTGGTCGGGTAGACCTCAACCAGACCCATGCCCGAAACGCAACTGGGTGCATAGCCAAACCCACGACCCTACCCATGGGTCTTAGGCTAGACCCATGCCCGAACCCGCCGGGTCGCCCGACCAAATTGGGCACCCATCGGGTCAGGGCAATAAGAAACTCTTTTTGTATTTTCTGCTTCGAAAGAAGTCAGTAGGCATCCAACCCTTCCTTTTCTACTACCACAAGCGACGTGGAACTATCTCAATCAGAACTACTGTAGTACTGCACTGGAATGGATGAGCCGCCAGAGTCAAGTGGAACATGGCCCAAGTGATTTTAGCTTGCACGCGCAAACCATGGGTCGGGTGCTTCTCTTTTTTGAAGGATGGGTCAGGTCTTTCTCTCTTTACTTGCGCATGAGCCTCACGCACGTATTCTTTTTCTCATGTGTTATGTGTTAGGTGCTTGGCCTGTATATCCATACATTCACCCTACATTTCTCTTCTCTGTTTCTCTGTGCCTTGTGCATACATACTAAATAATTAAATAATTAGTTAATAATTACAAGTTTTCACTAGGTCACATACATGTCACATTAATCGGGTAGCCCATCGGATAACCCATGGGTATAGGCGTGTACTCATACCCTACCATCACTACGCGCACATGAAGACCCATACCCTACCCATTCGGGTCGGGTGCCCATGGGCGCGCGTACCTATGGGTGGAATTGCCGGGTTGAAGCACCACCATCGTCTTAGGCCTAACATGCACTATCACCATTAGTCCCCCATAACGAGTGTGTGGTTTTATGCACGTTGCATCAAAGGAATGGAAGGAGCTCCACTCACATTTCCTTCCAATGGATGTAGAAGCCATCCGCCAGGTCCCACTAAGTATGGTCCATCAGAGTGATTGCCGGGCCTGGCATGGAAAGAGCAGCTCTTTCTCATTGAGATCGACATATATGATGCTTCTATAGACTAAGATGCAATGCAAGGACTGGAGGCAAGTAGCTACGGCGAGCTCAAACAAAAAAGGAGATGAGAAATTTTGGCGTGGGTTGTGGAAGGTTAAAGTCCCGGCCAAACTGAAAGTGTTTGCATGGAGACTAGCAAGGGCATCTTTGCCCACAGGAGAGGTCGGAAAGGATCGTAAAATGGCACAATCAGCGGCATGTTCGATTTGCAACGTTGTGGTAGATTCCTGGTGGCACGCTTTACTCGACTGCGATATGACAAAGAGTGTATGGGCGCTACGTGAGGATGACGCTGCGGTTCCTTTTGTTTGGTGATGAAACGCAGGATGCCAAGCTATGGCTATTTAGCTTGAGCAAGACGCTGGATAGTGTTATGTACTTATGTTTGTGGAGGTCTTGGTGACCCTTTGGGCGATATGGTGGGCTCGGCGTCGAGCAATTCATGAGGGGGAATTTCAGAGCCTTTGGTCCACAAACTTGTTCATCGGACAATGCCTTGAGTAGGTCGAGTACTGCAGCAGAAGGACACCACCTGCTCGGGCTACCACTAGGACGTACGAGAAGGAAACCAGCAAAGTGGGTTCGGCCTGGCCCAGGCATGGTGAAACTTAATGTTGATGGAGCTGGCCAAAACATCAAACAAAGGGGCGGTCGGAGTTGTCTACAAGAGTGAAGATGGACATTTCCTGGGTGCTTCGGATGTTGTGTTACCTGGGGTGATGGATCCAACGACCCTGGAAGCTCATGCATGCAGGGAGGCCACGGAGATCTTTCGGTGGCCACTGAAGTCCGCAGCAAGGCCGTCGTCTCGGGCCAGAGTGATCATTGCAAGGACCAACACTAGCGGCTGCAGAGCGGTCACGACGCTCTTGGCCACGACCCCTTGTTGGATCTAAGCATAGACCGGCCCACAATGGCAACCTAGCTAGCCCCCGACCAGACATGGCAAGGGAAGACACGCCCTGTATTGCACGTCCATGGTCAAATCTGGGAAAGAACCCGCCCACGCCGGCATCCCCGGCCAGCCAGCCATGGCCAGATCTGGGCAGGGAAGAGCAGGTCGCGGCGGTCGATTGCCGATGGCCCGGGATGGGGCAGCTGCAGCCCTCCTGGCCACACCGTCAAAACCTAGCACCCCTAGTTCGCGGTGGAGAACGGAGCCCAACCGGCGGCCATGAACACGGGCACCACAAGGAGACGAACGACTACGTCGGGCGAAGGGAAGGACACACAACAAAGGGAGAGAAGTCCTGCCGTCACTGCCTTCCGCATGGGGCTTCGCCTGGTAGCGGCGAGAGGATAGAGGAGGAATAGGGGCCCCAGAGACGGCGAAGATTGGAACACTACCCGTGTTGGCCCGTTGAGGACAACGCAGGAGCCTTGTTTGCTTCACCCTTTTTATTTTTTCGAAAACACTAAAGCCCATACGCGTTGGTGTTACCCAACTCGCCCACACGTCTGGATCGTCGTTCACTGTTTTTTACACGAATCTTGACACAAAAAGGTGGATTTAGTGTGCCACGTAGGATGGGGCTGGTGTGTGGGCGTTGGAGAGTTTGCCCACACGCCCGCACCACGCTGTTTGCCAGCTGCATTGTGTGGAAGAACTGCTTTTCGCCCACACAGCCACTAACTAGGCCATGCGTGTGTGGGCGAACTGCTTTTCGCCCACACGACACTACTATCTTGTGGATGCCAACTGCAGTTACGCGAACGTGGCAACTCGATACACACACATGACAACTGTGATTCTTTGCTACATGGCAAATGCAGTTACGCGAACGTGGCAACTCGGTACACACATGGCAACTGTGATTCTTTGCTACACGGCAACTGCAGTTGCGCGTACGTGGCAACCAGATAAACACACATGGCAACTGTGATTAACAATACATATGGTTGGACCACACATGGCAACTAGGTAAACACACATGGCAACTACGTTTTTGACCATATGTGGCAAGTAGTTAATCACACACGGCAACTACGGTTTGATTACACGCGGCAACTACCATAAATTAGACATGGCAATTATAGTTAACCAAAATAGATAGAGTTGCCATGCTTTTACAACTACACTTGCCATTCCGGATGACTACATCTGCCAACCAAGATGGCAACTAAATCGTCATCCCGCGGGGTACCTAACGTAGCTGCATCAGGACGTGTGGGCATTTTTGCTTCGTGCCACACGCACGGGGTGGAGATGAGTAGTACTTGTTGGGCGTGTGGCACGAAGTAGCCGCGCCCACACGTGTGCGCAATTCTAATGTCCGCCCACACGGCGCAATTCTAATGTCCGCCCACACACAGTCTGTGTGGGCTGCCTCCTGCTCACACCACACATGATATGTGGGCGCATGTCGTATATGCCACACGTGTGACAGTTATCGGCGTCCTATTTGTTTGGTCGGACTTGTTACTTTTGGTTGTGCATATCTATGCAGAGGCAGAGGTCCGACATCGCTCTTCATGTTATATATCCACATGATACTATATTTAAGTTAATAAAAGTGCCCTTTGTAGAAACGATCTTCTTTTTGTCGGATGGACTATAGTTGTTTAGTTTCTCTTCACAGAAGGATGCTCTCTTGCAGGAGCTTCGAGCTAGATGATAAAATGCTCAGCGTGGACACACAGGCGCGTGACCAATGGAAACCTCAAGTTCAGCGCAAAATCGAGCGATTTTCAGGTCTCATGGGCATCAAAGAAACGCTGCCCAGGCAGTTGCGGACACACCAACACCATTTCAAATTAACCACATGAACTCGGTTACCATGGCATTTTATTTGACTTGATTCTACAACCGAACACACCCTAAATCATCCGTAGCGACGGTGGACAGCCAACAGGTCCATCCCAAACACAACAAAGGCAGCAACACACAAACAAGTACACTCAACTGACCACATTCATGAATCCAATAATGCGGGACTGCTCAATCGCGGTCATCATTCATGAATCCAAATGTACCCACTGTATACATGTTTTGCTACCTGCCCAGAATTTACAATGAACAGATGTATGTATTCCTCATTTGAGGATTGTATGC